AGGATTTCTACAAAGAGCATATAGTATTCATAAGCAGACTACACCAAACTGCATTCAAATCTTAAAAATTCTTTACTTGAAAAAAATACAGGTTGGCATGATCTTAATGTGACTTTGAGATTACTTATATTGATTAATTATTTCCTTTGAAAAGAGATTATTATTTAATTAGATTTCTTAAATCCATATGAGCTGAGCAGTGTTATTATGGTTGTCTGCCAGATTGTGGATATTGTGTCAATATGTGACCCAGGTCTTAATACTGAGAGACTATCCAGTGTTTGAAAAAGGGTGGTAGACCAAGAGCCTTAGGCCTCATGACCTTGGGCAAAGCCTTTAACAGCCCTCTCGGCCTCAGTTTCCTTGCGTCAAAAAGATATTAACACCGGCTCTACCACTTTCACAGAGTTGTTCCAAAGACCAGATAAGCTCATTGAGCAGGAGTCTATGAAATGCAGGCTATTAGGAGAGAAGCAATCATCATTTTTAAAATGAGCTATTGCCTGCCTGGGATTGATAGTTGAGACGAACAGTCTTCATAAGTCTCCTTCTTGCTAGGGAAACATGCACTCTCTCAGTTGCAGAGGGAAAAAAAAATCCTCCCTAACCCTCCTACAGTCCCTTTTTTTACTGAATTCGTGAGGCTGATGGCATAGCCCTTGTGGGGAGAGAGTACAGATAGGTCAAGGCACATCCCTGGGTCCACCTCCACCAAAATTCTAGGGAAAAATGCTTGGCTTTTTCCCTCCCTGAGAGTTGAGGAAGTGGCAGAGAACTTAAATGTTCCGGCAAGACCAGGGGCAGAGGGCAAATTCTGTACTACCTCTGTACAAACCCATTTGCTGCTTGGCAAATCTACTGGGTCTGGATCTCTGATTTGTGGCTTAAGGCCACAAGTTCATTCTGATGGTACATTGATCCCCACCCACCCCTCCATGTGCTGCTATCCTGAAGACAGTTGCCAAATCCGAGTCATATTATTGCAGACTCTTGCTACCTGTAGTTACAGGGACAGGACAGTCCACAGCATCTCTATGTTCCAGAGCAACTGCTCCAGTCAGACCTGCTGCAGTGGAACAGAGGCCCCCCTCAGTCACCAAAGGTAAAGGGGGGCTATTGTAACTGACCGGAAAGCTTACCATCCATATGCAGTCCTGCTGCATATAAGAGACACCTGGGGAGCTTTTAAATATCCTGATGCCCAGGCCACACTCCTGGTGCAAAATTTAACCAGAATCCCTGAGGGCAAGAACCAGGTATTAGTATTTTTACAGCTCCCCAGGTCATTCCAAGCACAACCAAGACTGAGAAGCACTGGCTTAGGATCCAGCACATATCCAAGCATCGCTGCGCTCCAGCCTGCACACCCAGGTCACTTTGTGAGGTCACTTTGTGAGAGAGTGCTGCTCTCTCCTAAGTGTGCCTTGCACACATTTTTGCCTGCCACAAATCTAACTCAACCCTAAGGCATCCTTCCTCCTTCAGCTCCTCTTGCTGGCTGGCTCCATCTCTGTTTGCCGATCCAAATACCCAGGAAGGCACTCATCTTTAGCCCAGCTCAACTCACCTTTTTGAACCAGGCTACTTGGGCCGTGGGATGCTGACTGACCTCAGGATCAGCCACTCTGGATGAGAACTGAGTCCTTCTTGCCTTCATAATCTGCAGAAAGGGGTGGAGGAAAGGGAGGTTGCATGTATAAAACATGGCCAGCCTGGTCTGCCCCCAGGTCAGTTGTATGTGAAGATGAGGCGGGGTGGCACAGTTTCCCTTAACAGGGACTGTGGGATTCTTTAAGACATCTGGCTCAATAACAAATCATAATGTTGAAATCAAACATATTTAGAGGAGTCCGTAAAGAATTAAGATCAGAATTTCATCCTCTTTATAGAATATGACCTTTTAAAGTCTTTTTAAATATATACAAGATAATAAAATAGGTAGCCTGCTCAACTATATTTAGAACGTGTGTATAATTTTACAAATCCTTGTGCATGGAATCCTTGTCCACAGAAAATGGCAATTGAATTTAGAATGGAAGGACTTAGACAGTCATTACCTTAACTGGAGGAATATTTTTTCCCTTTTATAAGAAACTTTTTTGTTAGAATATAATACAAGTAAATAAAAGAGCATATATCCTAAGTGTACACCTGTACTTTTTAAGATTTTATTTTTTTTAGAGCAGTTTTCGGTTCACAGTAAAATTGAGGAGAAGGCAGAGATTTCCATACACCCTTATCCTGACACATGCATAGCTTCCCTGTTACCCACGTCCCCCACTAGAGTGGTACATTTGTTACAATTGATGAACCTACATTATCATCTAGAGTCCACAGTTTACATTAAGGTTCACTCTTGCTGCTATGCATTCTATGGGTTTGGACAAATGTATAAGGACATGTATCCATCATTATGGTATCATACAGAGTATTTTCATTGCCCTAAAAATCCTCTATGCTCTGTCTATCCATCCCTCCCTCCCCACCACCATGACTTTTTATGAAGTGAACACCCTTGTAACCACCACCCAGGTCAAGAAACCAAACATTACCGTTACCCCGAAGACTCCCCTTGTGCCTCCTTCCAATTACTACTCACCTCCACGGGTAAGCACTACCCTGACTTGCCCCAGCATAGGTTAGTTTTGCTGGGTTTTGTACTTTATATAAGTGTAATCATATAGAATATACTTTATTATGTTCTGGCTTCTTTACCTTGACTTAGGTTTGTGAGATTCATCATATTTTTTAATGTAATTTTAGTTTTAGCCAGAGGTTTTAATCCTTGAAATCTAGTTCAACAACATTATTTAGCCAGGAACTGTGCCCAGGGCTGGGGACACAAAAGCAAATAGAGGTACGTCCCTGCTGTAAGGAATATTCAATCTAGTAATGCAGTAAGGACCAGAATTTCATGTAAAGTGAATTCTTCTTTGTTTAACAAATATTTGTTCAGTGTCCACTGTGGGACAGACACTATTACAGGTGCTAGGGATAAGCAATGAACAAACAGATAAAAATTCTAGTGGAAATCCTCTGTTTTATTTCCCTGACATGTGTGGGCAAGTTCTGCCCACTAATAGCCATTTTCCGCTCTGTTTTGCATCTGATTCAACATAAGGGGAAATAGTGATGAAAGCTATTTCTTCTGGCAACTTGGAGTGTGTGATTATGAAGTGGCTGGTCCAACCATGGGGCAGTTTGTAAACCAGTGAGCATGGGAAATATTTCTCTCTATCTATTTCTGCCTTATTCCGTTCTGTCTATTCTTGACGCTGCCTATACAGAATGAAACGAAAATCCGGAACCTAAGGAAACCTTTGGATGTTAGCTTACCTTGAAGTAAGGCTGAGCAGTCTTGTTGTTTTCCAGAACTGTGAAGTGAGAAGAGACAATTGCCCAAATTTGACTGAAATCGTAAACCTTTGAAAATATTTTAATAACAATGGATATCTAATACATACCACTATTCATTAGTGTTGACTTTTCAGAACCTAGTCAATTACTTGACTATAAATCTGTGACATTGGAGGGAAGAGAGAGAGAAGAGAATCCAACATCACTCCAGGACTGACAGCTTGGGAATAAACGCAAGAGATTATCTAGTTTTGTTTGTTTGGTTCGTTTTTCCCCTCATTTTTATGGAAAATTTCAAGCATATATAAAAGTTAATAGTAAAATTCACTTCCATGTACCCATCTTTTAGCTTCAAAAATTATCAACTCATACTCATCCCTAACCCACTGCTGTCCCACTATTCTGATTATTTTGAAGCAATCCTAGATGTCAGATAAATTATTCATAATTGTCCAGAAAGTGGGATCTGCTAGTTTTAATCCCCTTAGTTAAGAGGCTCAGAGAGGTGAAGTCACTAAGTTAGTTAGCAGCAGCTATTTTTAATTGCTAGATTTCAAAAGTAAGTGTTAAAAAGGTTACTAACAAAGAGTACTGGATTTTATATAGTGCAATTAAACAGTATGTATGCGACATAAGTTGTCAAATTATGTCAAACATCTGGTTGGGTCCATGACCATGGCCACATTTTGGACAATAGTTACAAGTGGAATAGGAGCCTCCTCCACACAAGAACTTTAACGTGTAGACCTAATGTCACTTGACCCTGTATAAAAATTTGTCATCAGAACATTTAAAACCTTATTTTCAGCTTGTATCAACACCTCGTCTAATAGGTTCCATAAATTAATGCTCACTCTAAAAAAAATAACTTTGTGTTATTTGGCCTATAATCACCTCTTTTAAGACTCCCATTCAGAAAACTGGCAAGTTCTCCGAAGAGTTGAACCAAGTTTGGGACTGCTGGTTCATGTTCCTTTTCATCAATTTTGAAACCAAATCCCTCTGGATTTTGAATTGCAAATAAATTTGTCCAAGTGAAAGAGTTCCTTTCAACTATTTAGTAATAAAATGGGCCTAAGACTCTTCCCAAGCTTCATTGTGTCCCATCTGCAGCCTGTGCTATTTTCAAAGAAGGAGGTGAGTTGCTGTTCATTGAGCCAGTGTCAATGGCTTATCTATTATGAGATATCACAGCACAACCAGGAATGGAGCTATTTTTCTATGTTTCCCAGGCTTAAAATCCTGAAGCACCATTGTCTGGCCTGGTCAGAATGTTCCAGAAGTTTCTAGAGCAAGAGGGAAAGATTCTGTTAGTGTCTTCTTCATGAAAATGTGCAAAAAGTTGATTTGACGTCTCCCACTGTCATACTTGCCCGATTGCATCTCAAAATGTTACCCAGGGCATGTGACAGCCATCACTGTGAGGAGTGGGGCACGAAGCCCCCGTTTGATGAGCATTTGATGAGGAGATAATCGGGGGTGAAAAAAAGCTACAAAAATTACCTGAATAAATATCACTGTGGAAGCAGATATCCAGACATTTTTCCTTACACAACTCCCACTTGTTTCTTTGAGAGATAAAAGCAGCAAAGCTTGACAATCTGTCAGTTTAACCGTTTTCATTGTGTGCTTTTTCTGGGCAGGTTATTCACATCGAACTCCTTTGATGTGATCAGTGATGATGCTTTTATTGGTCTTCCACATCTAGAGTATTTGTAAGTAAAAAACCTTTTTTGTGCATAGTGATTCAGGACAAGTGCTCTCGGGTTCCTACAGCTGTCTGACAAAAAATATTATAACCTGTTACAGATTCATAGAAAACAACAACATCAAGTCCATTTCAAGACACACTTTCCGGGGACTAAAGTCTTTAATTCACCTGTAAGTATGAATGTTGCTATTACTTTTTAAGTTTGCCAACGGACAATGCAGTTTGATAATCTGTGGTTAAAGTGCCCACCTTATGGGAATCCATGAAAATTTAAGGAACCCAGAAAATTCCTGTCCATGCAAAGTTGCCATCTCTCCCTGTCATCAGCCAATGTGTGCCCAGGACATTGATTACTATTAATATGATTAGCTTAAACCAACCATAATTAGGAAAACAATCTAATGCAGGGAAATTGTGGGACTGAAATAACTTTTTCCTTATCTATATCGTTACTCACTTCATGGGTAATTATGGGTTGACAATATAGCTCAATCTGATATTTGCTGTTCTTCTTTTCTCTTTATAAGCCCTGACTTTATATACATTTAAACATGTGCTATAACCACAGGCAATGTCTACACAGTACCTACACACTTTATTTATCAATGAAATATTTAATTATTCCTTGAGGAGTTAGAGCCACGTCAGTTGTTCTTAACAGGGGGCAATTTTGCCTCCTAAGGAACATTTAGTAATATCTACAGACATGTTTGATTGTCACACCTGGGGGATGTAACTGGCATCTTGTGGATAGAGGACAGCGATGCCCCTAAACATCCTATGATGCACAGGTCAGCCCTCACGACAAAGAATTATCCGGCCTAAAATGGTATAATGCTGAGGATGAGAAACCCTGAGCAACATGAACCAAATAATTTGTTCCACCTCCTTCAGACACACACACACACACACTCACACACACACAGTGATATTTTTAAGGAAACTAGAAGAACATGAGAAGAAAAGGCACTAACATTTATTAAGTGCCTAATATTATGCTGGTCATTATGCTTTACATGAATTTTCATTTAATCCTCTCAACAGTCCTGCCAGATAGGCACAATAATCCCCATTTTAGAAATGTTGAAACAGGCTTGGAGGGGATACACGACTAGTGAACAAGTAGTTATGTAATTATGCTAACATCAGCTCAGTCGTTGAACTGCAATGGCTATTCGTCCATTGAAAAACCATTTCTCCAATACCTGATATATCTCATTATTCTTAGCTCAAGCAGCAGGAGATCTAAGCCTTGTAGTCATTCTGTCAGCTTTAACCTGTTCCCTCACAATACCTCATTCCCAGCTCTATTCTAGGCCCCAAGATGCAGCAGGGAACAAAGCAGACAAAAATGCCTGCCCTTTGAGGCTGCAGTCTACTGTGTCCACGTGGTCATCACGATGCCCCTGCCATGCCCTGCCTCTACTGCTGTTTGGATTTGAAGCAAGGGGAAACTGATGGCCAGATGTAGTTTACAAAATCATTATACCTTTCAAGGCTTCTGTATGTAGTCATTATAATAAAAACAGCATTTGCAATGCTGCTCTGCACATCAGTGATATAATGTGATGCAAAAAATGGCTGTGTGTTGTATGAATGTTATGCCATTTTATCACAGAACCAACACTGCCAAACCTAATTTTTCAGACAAAAACAAATAAAAGAAATGAATATATGGAAGGAGAAATGGAAGCTCACGACCTCAACTTGAGATCTACTTTATTGACGTAAATCCCATTTAACATAGCCTGTGTCCAATGCTGAGCATCAAGAGGGGCTGAAGGAGGATTGAAAAGATCCAAGCTCCCTCTCTGGGATCCCATGATACAAGCCTTGCTGTGTCCCTTGGCTCATTCAAGTGTCTTCTCTCCAGCCTAAAGCCATCTGGAAGGAAGAAAGGAAAAAAGATGGAAGGGTGGAAGGGAAGGAAGAAAGAAGGAAGGAAGGAAGGAAGAGAGAGAGAGGAAGGAAGGAAAGAGGGGAGAGGAGTGGAATGACAAGGAAAGGAGGAAGGTGGAAGGAGGAAAGGAGGAGAGAAAAATCTCTATACAACACCCTACTGAAGAGCATCTATTTTGTTTGAGTAGAGCCTATTATGTCCATCAAATGAAATGGGAATTTAAATTTGGGTCATAATGAGGCCCTTTCTTTAGAGATATAAAGACTATAAGAAGGGGACACCAGTACAGCATGTGCTTAATATCTAGAAATCTTCAAGCTCAAGGGAACACCAAAGGCAGCCTTCAAAGAGAAAAACATGAATCTGAAGGGTCAAACAGTGAAACGGAAGTCCCACCTCTCTGACCGGGTGCTGGAGGTGGCAAGGAGGTGTTATGAGGGAACAGGTTAAAGTTGACTGAGTGACTGTGACCCTTAGCTCTCTTGCATCTTTATCTAACACTTGGGTTGACTCATACAGCATTGCCAGTATTGGGTTGTTTTTGAGCTACAAAAATGCCAGTGCCATCTGGTTCATCTTAAATAGTCTCTAGGATGTGCCACGCAAAGATGAGTAAGATGCAGTTCCAACCTGGAGGAGCTCAGTCTAGCAAGAGGAAGTAGACAAACAAATATTTTCTCGCTGAGTGCCTTTGTTCCCAAGTTCTGTTCTCCTTCTCATTATGCTCTTTTCTAATTTCCTTTCTCCTTTTTTTTCTTTTCTTCTTTCCTTTCAAGGAGAGATGGGATAGGAGGATTTGAAACCCAAATGTCTCTCTCACTGCTCGGTACATCAAGTTCATTTGCCATTACTTACCACATAAATAAATCTGACATTTGTTTGATCCATTAATTTCCTTTTTAAGATTTTAGGTTTCAAAGTCACTTTTCTCTGACCAATTCTTCCTAAACAAGGACAAATGTTCAAGCAGTGAGGGGTGATCATCTCGCTCCCTGACGTGTACATACCGCAGGAAGAGTTTCCAAGATTTTTCATATTCTTGACTTTATTATAGGCACCTGATGACCATAAGAAAGAGACAGGGCAGTAGCACTACCCGCATTGACCAATGAGACCGAGGAGGCGCACCCTGAGTTTAAGCTGCTCCTCAGTTGGTAGCGGTAAAGCTGAAGCGTCCGGTAGGCTTTAATAAGATGTCTTGTGCCCTCTCCACCATAACAGTTGTAGCGGGACCAGAAAGCTTTTATTGAGCTGGCTGGATCGATTCATGAGGCAGGATCTGAGGAGCAAATATGGCCAGGGAAGAAAGAGAAGATCCTGAAGGCAGCAGCCCTACCCTCGCTCTTAGTCTCCGATTGCAAATAGCTGGGATTAGACATACACTTATAGATCCGACTGGTTCCCACTCTGGCCTAACATTAAAGCTACTCCAAGGGACCCACCTGAGCATTGATATAAATTCAGTTAGTTCCTAAAGGAGGAATGAATTTATCTCACCTTCTTATCCAACTATCTTAGTAGACTTAACTTCTAAAGAGACATTTACAGACAACTTAAAAGTTACTGTATATACCCCCCCCTCCCCCTTGAACTAGCCCTCGAAAAAGGGAGAGTTCCTTATATTGAAGTCCTTACAAAGCCAGTCAAATCCTGGGCCCTTCTGTCTGTTACTTCATTTTCAATTACTGTCCTAATGTTAAACATGTTTAATGTTTGAATAGTTCATATATTTCAACAAGGTTTGAATTTTTCTGATGACCACGTATTACTTTTGAAATCAGAGGAAAATTGAAAAAAAAAATAGTTTTTGGCCAAAGATGGCAAAACCTCTAAACATTATGTATTGGTTTCTGTTAATACCCAAGAGCATTTTACTAACGGTTCCCTTGGTCGTCGCATAATGTCACTGTGGCTAAAGCCCAGGGGAGGCAGGATGGTTTGCATGCATGTTTAAAAATATTTGAGGAAAATTGTCATCGATCTATATGTGGTTTGGAGCATCTATTGGCTGCTCAGCACTATGGGGATGGAAAAGATGTAGATAGCAGTCCCCAAACTCAGGGTTCCTGTGTGTCCCCAATCAGTCAGGCAAGATGTCAGCCTTCGCGATGACGTGCATGTAAAGAGGCAGTGTGATATAGTGGCTGAGGGTGATGTTTGCCCCTAGACTGTCTGAGTTCAAAGCCTCTTACCAGCTGTGGGACTTAGCTTCTTTATGCCTCAGATTTCTTATGTGTAAAATGAGGGTGATGATAGCAATCTGTAAAAATAGGGATGGGGTATAACAAGGTACTTCAGATTTCCTAGCTCCTAAAGCTGTCACGAGACTAAATGAATTAGTCTACACAAAGTGCTAGAACAGAGCCTGGTATACAGTAAGCTCCACTATATGGAAACAAACTAAAACTCACTGCCTAACCTCTGTTGGTCCTGGATCTGGGTTCCAAATGCTGCAGTGTATTTATCCCCTTCAAACATTTTGTATGAAATTAAAATAACTGCACTTGAAGCACCGCAAATTCAGTGAGACACCAGCTCAAGCTGAGAATCTGCACTGCAGGAGGCTAGGAGCTCCCCAGATGGCTGTGGGCGATGCTTTCTTAGCAGCAGAGCCCAGTGGCACTGAAACAAACGTGCTGTCTGAGCCAGTCTGGTCTGCCTTAGAGAGAAGACTTTCCAGTAGGTTCCATAGTCAGAATCAGGTTTTCTCAGGTAAACCAGGAAAACACCAAAGTGGGGGGAAAGGTCATCATTTCTGTTGGGAAGGAAAGACTTTCTGCCACTGAGAATGCTTGACCTTACTCAGCTGGTCTCAAGGCAGCTAGATGTTCAGTTGGGCAGTTTCCTGGGTGTTTTAAAGAATGTTTCTTGGGTAGACTCTGAATCAGGACCCAGAGGATGGTGCTTCACTGAAGGTGCACTTTAAAGAGTTTCCATGTTGCTTTGGAGTTATTCCCACAGTGAAGCTGAGAGGAAGGAGAGCACTTTGTGAGCAGCGGGCCCATGTGATGTGGGGGTGGGTAGCAATGGAATTCGCAGGGCTTTACACCTTCTCCCTGATTCAGTGTCTTGGTACTGACAAGGGCCTGAGAGAAGCATCCTCTGTTCTTTTCTTTGTCTAGATTGATGCCCTTCCTCTCATCCACTCCAGCCTGCCCCATTCATTCATTCATTTGAAAGTATCTATTGAGGGCTTACTTTGTGCCAGGCCTTGGGGATACAGTGGTAAGAAAAACATCCTTCCAGTACTCACTACAGAATCATCCTAGA